GGACGACATGGTGGCGCTGCTGCGGTGCCTAGCGGCGGTGTTTGCGGTCGCGCCTGGGCTGTGGTTTGACGAGCTTGGGGGAGAGCGCCACCAGTTGGTCTCTGGCCTGATGAGCCACGTGAGTGAAAATCCCCGGTCTTGGGCAGGCCGGTGGGGGTGAGAGGCGGAACGGGTCGCGCCACGCCGCGCCGGGTGTGCCGCGCGCGCCGTGTGCTGTGCGCTGAGCAGCGCCGGGCTGCCTTGTGAGGCGTGCATCGACTGGCTGGGCTTTCGGCTGCGCTGTGGTGTTGAGCCGTGTGTGCTGTGCCGTGACATCCATGCTGCAGCCTTGTGCATGCTGTGCAGCGCCATGCTATGCAGAGATGCGTTCTGTTCAAGCCCGCCATCCTATCCTAATGATTCGCGTCCGGCCCAGCTCAGCTGGCAGCACCTTGCACTCACTACACCCACCTGCCGCCCCTCAACAGACGGCCTCGACACACCCTACTCACCCCGCCGACACAACCCCGACACCCTCCCCAACACACCCAATTTACACCCCAACACACCTATTCTTGTCCCTCTCACATCCCCCATCCCCTCCATCATCCCCCTTGAATGCATCCTCGACCACATGCACCCCCAACGCGCATCCTTTGCATCCCCAAGACCCCTCCCACACACCCCCAACACCCTCTCACTCCCCAATACCATCAACCGCCCCCGAGCAGCTAGCAGTGCACCGCGCCATGCAGCTGCCCGACGTCCGGGCCGCCTTCCTGTCAGTCATGGCCTCCCTGGCCTCCGGACCGCTGGGCGCGCGGCTGATGCTGGCCCAGTTTGCCGCCAGCGCGGCGCGGCCCGAGCTGGAGCACCTGACGTGGCGCACGCTGTTCAGGACGCTGGTCGGTTACTGCGGAAGGTGGGGGGGCACCGGGGGTTGAAGGGGTCTGCAATTTGGGGGCGTTGGGTCAGCAGCTGACCGCTCACGGCGCGCCGACTCTTGGGGAGGGGCCGAGGGGGGTCTTGGGCTCGTGAGGGGGTGTGCACGTGCGTTGCCAGGGGCTGCGCCCGCCAATCGCGGCCGCGAGGTTTGGTGCAAGTGGCAGCGGCAGGGAGAGGCGGCGCGTAATCCACTGCCGGGCGTCGTCTGACTGTAAGGGACGCTCACGCGGCGCTGGCGTAGGGCCCGCCAGGGGAATCAGGTCATGGTGCCCGCAGATCGCCGATTCATGGTCTGCAGCGCGGCATGCACGAAAGCATCCCATGCCGGTGTCTGTCCGCACTCTGCTCAACATCCCCGTGCATACTCTGCACTCACCAATGCGTTTGTCGCGCACTGTATCGTGCCTTAAAGGCTAGACATGCCCGCGCGTCCTCGTGCGCCCCGACAGGTACCAGCAGATTGAGGCGGAGAAGGCGGCCGCGGGCGCCGCCGTGGGCGGCCTCATGACGGCGCCCTCCTCCGCCGACGACAAGCTGATGCACCCCGGGGAGGAGAAGCTGCTGGTCGCCTACCTGCAGCTGCTCGCGTGAGGCGGGGGGGGGGGGCGAGCTTGCGCGCGCTGGCGTTCCCAGGGGTGCCTCCCGAGCGACGGGAGCCGAATGGGGCTGGCGTGCACCGCGCGACCGCGTGCTCGTGCCCCTGCCCCCCTCGCGCTTTCATGACGGGCCCTCTCCATCTGGCCTCCCGCCCCTTCCCGCTTCTCCTCAGCTGCGTTGACGCTTTCCCGACCCCTCATCCCCACCCAATGACCACCACATTCGTGCTCACCCCATCCCCCTGCATATGGTTACTCACACATATACACACACACATGTACATACACTCACATACATGTACCGACAAACGTCTCCCCCTCCAATACCATCCCGACCCCCAACCCACCCGACCCACCCCCCAGCAAGATCGTGCGTGAGGGCGAGGAGGGTGAGGTGCGGTCCGCCCTGGGCTCCATTGAGCGCGAGTGCGGCTCCGTGCTGCAGGGCCTGCCGCTGCAGGAGCCGCTGTTCCAGCTGATGAGCCACGGGGTGCCCACAAGCGTCAAGGCCGCGATAGACGAGGTGCGTGCGTGTGTATGTTTTTTGGTGTATTTGCGTTTGTGTGTGTGCTTTTGCGTGTGTGTGTGTGTGTATAAATCATGTGTGTGTGTGTGAATTGTGTGTGTGTGTGTGTGTGTGTGTGTGTGTGTGTGTGTGTGTGTGTGTGTGTGTGTGTGCGCGCGC